GCTGCCTTCAGATGTCTTTTAAAGGTAGGATAGCTACTTATTTCCTTCACATTTGAAGGGAGCGTGTTTCACAGGGCAGGCGCCACCACAGAGAAAGCCCTCTGTCTGGTTCCCTGTAACCTTACTTCTCGCAATGAGGGAACCGCCAGAAGGCTCTCGGCGCTGGATCTCAGTGTCCGGGCTGAACGATGGGGGTGGAGACACTCCTTCAGGTATACAGGACCGAGGCCGTTTAGGGCTTTAAAGGTCAGCACCAACACTTTGAATTGTGCTCGGAAACGAACTGAATGAATTGGTGGGGTTGAATATTGGAAACCCAGAAACAAAAAGTAGTTAACCTGCCAAGTTCAGTCAGGCTCTAATTCTTTCCCCACTTAACTAGGTTCAAAATCACCAACACAGTGGGATTTAATACTGAGTAAATCATTGCATGTTCCCAACATTCCCTTTGCCTCTTTCTTATACGCAATGTTCATGCCTACCTCTTGTTCTGCTGCTTTGTCCATCACCTCCCTTCCATTTCTGAACCATGAAGTATTCATGGGAATGTGTTCTCAATTCAACCTGGGAAACAACTCTTATTATACCAGTGTGCTTTAACACACAATGTCTTTTTAGCAGCCCCTGAATCTAAGCCTTATAGATATGCTTTCCTTTGAAAAAAACCCCAAAAACTACTTGGGAAGCTAAACCTTCCTCTTCTTTTTTTATTCAATGGGATTCGTTTCCCATATAATCGTGCAAGGGATTATAGGGTGTGATCACACAACCTTCCATTGGAAATTGCTTATTCCCATGTAAACAAGTGTTGAGGAAAGCTCTCCTTGATCCCAAATATTTGAGAGGAAGCATCCCATTGGGCTCTGTGGAACTGCCTTTCACGCAAATCTGATTTAAGCTGCAATATGGCTGCAGCCATTTACCTGGGAGTAAGCACCACTAAGCTCAGTGGTGATTACTTCAAGTAGGTATGCGTAGATTTGCCCTGTCAGGCTAAAAGCTGATGCATGTTTGGGGTGTGAATATCAAGTTGTAGGTAGTTCCACTTCCGTGTAGCAATACAGAAACACCACAATTAACTGCGGGGGGGGGGGGGGAGTAGAATAGCATTTCAAGCAAGTCCAAATTTGTATTGAAGGACTATGAATATGTACTTCTTAAGTCTTTTCACAAGAATGAATATCCTACCTGAAAGACACTCTGAAAAATATTGTTAACATTGTGGTGTAGAGGGATTTGATTAGGTTGCATATGGTGCCTTAGACTGATGATGTTTATTTCTGCTAACTCAAGTGGTGGGACAAAAATCTGAATGTGCCCTGTGAAGGCTGACAGGAGAACCGAAGACAGAAGCCGATGCAGTCGTTTATTTCATCAAGTCATGAATAATCAGTGGACCCAACAGAAAATTTCCCAATCAATAAGTAACTACTTAAAAAGGTAAAGATAAAGGACCCCTGACAGTTAAGTCCAGTCGTGAATGACTCTGGGGTTGCAGCGCTTATCTCGCTTTACTGGCCGAGGGAACTGGCGTTTGTCCACAGACAGTTTTTGCGGGTCATGTGGCCAGCATGACTAAGCTGCTTCTGGTGAAACCAGAGCAGCGCACGGAAACGCTGTTTACCTTCCCGCCGGAGTGGTACCTATTTATCTACCTGCACTTTGACATGCTTTCGAACGGCTAGGTTGGCAGGAGCAGGGACCGAGCAACGGGACTAACCTTCCGATTGGCAAGCCCTAGGCTCAGTGGTTTAGACCACAGCGCCACCCACATCCCTAACTACTTACTGAGAACTACTTACTAAGTAACTACTTACTGAGCAGATAATGAAGAGGATTGTGGGCGCTCCATAAATTTCTGCATTTTGAAGTTTGCTAGCGTAATGGATATAAATTCACCGATGATCATGTCTGCTGGAGGACCATACGAATTGGTTTGAATTGTTTTTTCCAATCTGCAATAGCTCAAACTCTTGCTAGAAGAATAATGCATCAGCAACAGCAGGAAAAGCAGCTGGTGTGCTAACCATTCCTGGACTGAACTGGAAGCCATCATGTTTACCTATAGTCACTAACAGCATTTCAGTCTTCGCTGAAGTTATAAGGAAACTTGGCTCCATGGAGGCATGTACCTGCCTCAAATCTACCTCCCTAACTGGATTCATGTAAGTTGATAGACAGGCACCTATATAGACTACAACACAGGACCATCACATTTGGAAAGGGCTGCTTCTGTGGCTTATATTGTGCCTGGCATCTGATTTACCATGGGACATTTAAAAGTAGTGATGCTGATCAATAATTATAAAAATTACAGGGTGAGGTATTTGTTTTGCTAAGGTCCTCAAGTCTCAGAACAAGCAAAGTTATTATGCTAATGAGATTTCTGCTATAGCCCAAGATCTTCTCCCTTGTGAAGCAGTGACTTGGACAGTGGGCATAACTTTCTGAATGGAGACAATTTGACACAAGTGCAGGGTAAAGAAAGATGCTTGTTTTCTGTGAACTGCCCTGAGACTTCTGGGTATAGGGTGGTATATAAACTCAATAAATAAAAATAATAAAATAAAATAATGTACATATCCCTTCTTCTGATTCAGACCATTCGCCCTTCTATCCAATTACTGTCTACTCTGAATAGCAATTATGCTGCATGGCACATCAAAGAGGTCTTTCTCCCATGCAACTTGAGCTTTATTAACTTCAGATGTTAGTACATAATTAACTTTGTCCTTATGTAGCCAAAGCTGAGAGTGGTTGGGACAACCCAGTCGGATGGGCATCATATAAATAATAAATTATGATGATGATGATAAGCTCTGCTACTGAGCAATATCCTTTCACTGTAACCTGGATGGTTAAACACTCCGTCATAACAGCAGACCAGATATCTCTTCTCTTCTTCTGCCTCCCTCAGATGCCATCCCACATGTGATTTTTGTCTATCCCCACAGAAGCCTAAGGATCTCTTGATATTGTGGGATGGCAACTCCCATCATCTCTGGCTGCTGCCAATGCTTGCTGGTGATGAAGGGCAGGCACCACTACAAAGAATGCTCTCTGCCTGGTTCCCTGTAATTTCACTTTGCAGTGAGGGAACTGCCAGAAGGCCTTCAGAGATGGACCTCAGTGTCCATGGTGAATGATGCAGGTGAAGGCACTCCTTCCGGTATGTTGGGTTGAAATAAGCGACAGACGAATGGCAAGGTGTCATACGGGAGGCATCTCTCGAGCATGTCTCGGAGAGTCCCTTTTATTGAATATTACAGCATTACCACATATGTGCTTGTTGCTGATTGGTTAACATGAATACATTGCAAAGGTTGAATATAGGTATTAATCATCAGTAGATTGAAGGTTGGGAAAGGGAACACAGAATTGGACAGGTGTGAAACCTCCTTATTAAACTATTAACTATTGATTGAGTATCAAGACTTAAACTATTACTAATGATTGATATTGCATGACATGAAAGAACATAACAATCGCGTTCCGTAGATGTGGTCAACAATGCGTTAAGAACAGGTCAGGGTACTGAACTCAATGTGAACTGATCAGAACATTCCCAGACCCATGTGCAGAGGCAAAAACTTCCCAGCACCAGTATTCAGCGCTGTACAAGGTCTTGAAACCCTCCAATAGTGCTGAATTGTCTTCTTCTAAAATTGCCTAAAGCTGTTGATCTTTGAATTTGCATTCCCCTGCTACCAAAAGCTCATTGCTTGTTGTGAATCTGGAAACATTTGATTTTGAGGGGAAATATGTGCCTGAGAATGTTCAAAGTTTTATATTAACTTTGTAGGCAGGGAATAGCCGCAATAAGCACCGTATCTTCCCTTCCCACATATTATTCTGAGACCTACACAGGTTGCACTGGAAGTTATAGACAGCTTTTTCTAGGGGAAGGGTTCTGGTCTAAAACTTATGTTCCCCCCTCTTTTGGAGTAGCACATTTACCACACTAAGTTCCCTTTGAAAAAGAGGAGAGATGGTCTCTCCCATATGGAGGCTTGTGGGCAACCATGTGAGGGCATTTTGCCCTATAGAGGGAAGTGGAGACCAGGATATTTAAGCTTCTTCCAACCCACACTCTCCCCTCTTTTCTTTGAGACACCCATCCTCCCACCCTTTGTAGTGTGAGCCTTTATAGTGTGAGTAAGAACCTATTTTTGGAGGGGTGACACTAATTGGCCCATGAATTCTCCTTTTTGCCTCTTTCAAACTCTTGGATGTTATCTGTGTGACTGTATAGTGGTGTTTTTGTTTGAATTGGGTTCATTGGCATTTGGTCCAGGTGAGTGAGTAGATTTAGGAAACAATCAATTTAATATCAGAGCCAGTGTGGGGTTTGGCTTGCAAGGCACATTGGGATGAATGTCAGCCAGCTGAGCCACAGTGTGAATGCTGGGTCCATACACTGGGAGCACACAGTGGCACGTGGGGGACAGAAGAGTTTCCTTGAACCTTGCTGCATGACCAAAGCATGACTCTGGCAGTTGGCTCAAGAAATGGGAGTTTTTAAATCCATTAATCCAGCTCATCTGGCCAGAACTAATTGGTTCTGTTAATTTGTTCTAATTACATTGATTAGCCTTCTTTTGGCGTGCTGGAAATTGGTCTAGCACCCCACAACATAGGTAGCGTGTGGTCTTGCAATTTTTAGTGCTAGGATGCCCCTGTTTGGGTATAGTTTTCTCCCTTCCCTGGGGAGGGAATTTCAAGGATTGCCCCTGCTTGAGATTAGTGGTCTTAGAAGGGGAGCTGTTAGCCTGGATGGGCAGAGAAGGACAGCAGTGCACCAGGAAATACATGCATGGAAGCAAGTTTATTGAGGTTAAGGGAAAAACTGAAGATAATCTCTATAGGGATGTTTATTTTGAAAGTGATGATTGACAACTGGACATTTATGTTGAGGGATGGGGGAGGAGGGAATGATATCAGAAAGGCATCTGATGTCAAGGCAACTTCCTAGCAGACATAGTTTCGAAGTACCATCTCCTTCAGAGTTCTTGTTTGCAGATGAAGTTGTTCTGAATGCTGCAGGCTCTATCATTCCACTGCTGAAAACCTAAAATTCAAGACAAAAGATATAATTGAAGACATAACAAAAATTACTTGCCCAGTTGTTTATTGCCTCAATGCATGTAGCTTAGAGTAGGAATAAGGAATTGGAACCAGATTGCAGGCTTGACCCCTAGCTGACCAATAATTTACAGGCCATTCACCTACAACACTTCAAAGTGTTACGTGCTCTTTAAGCCTAACCATTTCTTAAAGAAACATAGCAGAAAAACGATGGAATGATCCAAACCATAGTATGTGTGGCAACCACTGTTTTCTGGATAAAATATGCAAGTGATGATAATCACATGCAGTCAAAGTATGACGACTGACTGTAGAAAAACCATGCACCTTGTGGTGTGATTGAAAGTGACCCTAAATGACTGGCAATGGGACCACTGCTGGCCTGGGCTACAGATATATTAAATTGTGAACCTTGAAACAGAGAAGCACCAGGCTGAGGGTTGCATCCACCCAACTCATACTTGGAGTCAAAAGGTAAAAGGTAAAGGACTCCTGGATGGTTAAGCCCAGTCAAAGGTGACTATGGGGTGTAGCGCTTATCTCTCTTCAGGCCGAGGGAGCCGACGTTTGTCCACAGACAGCTTTCCGGATCATGTAGGCAGCATGTCTAAACTGCTTCTGGCACAACGGGACACTGTGATGGAAGCCAGAGTGCACAGAAATGCCATTTAACTTCCCATCACAGTGGTACCTATTTATCTACTTGCACTGGTATGCTTTTGAGCTGCTAGAGTCGACCCAGATTGCATTGATTTTGATGGTTCTAGTTTTAAAGTGAGATCATAGAACTGTAGAGCTGGAAAGGTCCCTGTGGATCATCTAGTCCAACCCCCTGCAATACAAGAATATACAGCTGTCCCATACGGGGATTGAATCTGCAACTTTGGGGTTATCAGCACCATGCTGTAACCCACTGAGCAACTCCCCCCATAGAAATCCTGGAAATTGATGAAGAGAGCAGAATATAGTCAATTCTTTATATTAGTCCCTGCAAATGGATTCCTTACCTGTGCTAGATAGTAGTTCCACACAATACTCTGCACGGCCTGCATTGTCTGGCTGATGTGAATACCAGTTTTGGTAATTGTAGGTTGATTCATCAGCCCACCTCCAACGCCCATTCTGCGTGAAAGAGATGGAATAGATTGTGCAATCATTTGTAATGAGGAGTGCCAAGATCATGGGTATTGCCAGTTATGGTTGAGATATTAGAGGAGGAACCCCATAGAAAAGAATCAAAAAGTAGTGTATGAGATTCATCCTGGCAGATTTTCAAGATACGTATGGAATGATGATTCTAAGAGCTCACTTCTCTGTGACAATGACCTGAGTAAGTGAAGGCAACTCACCTCACGGGGATCATGAAGCCCAATCCAGACATGACTTGGTTTTTTCTGGTATGTGGCAATGTGCTTGGCCACCAAGGCTGCCTCTTTCTCAGTGAGAATGGAGGCAAGATGAGTCCCACGGCCATAACTTTGGCACTCAATCTAAGAATGGAGAAGAAATTAAAGATGATTTGCCAGCATTATCATATTCCACCAGTACAGATCAGGGAGAAATTCAATACAGAAATCCCATAACAGAAACTACAATAGAGAGATCAAATTTTTCAAAAGTAGGGTGTCCATGACTTGACTTTTGAAAAACATGGCGTCCACAGTACTTAGCTAATTGGAAGCCACAGCTCCAAGGCAACCAGAAATCTGATAGGAATCTCACAAACATACATACAATTATTGTTTGGTAGGTGAGGCATGCTTCTTACCTCAGCTTCATACCATGACATCTCATAATCGAAATATGCATAGCAGTTGCCCTGGTTTTGCATCCAGTCCCTGGGGCAGGAGCTGGCCTTGGCTGTAAGGTGAGAGGAGAAAGAAGGAGAAAGGGAGGACCAAAGCAGTAAGAAGCTTGCTCTTTGTGAATACAATTAGGGATTCCATTGAATATTTTAAACTCAAAGGTACTGTTTTGAAAATCCTGCTCCTTTGTCTTAAAAGCATGAGCTGGGCTACTCTCTGTTGAAAATATAAGAAGTACTTTTTAATGACTGCTTAACTCCAAGCAGACTTCTGGGTAATTTGGTATTATGCTCACCTCCTGAGAAACAACTGGAGACCAGAATTCCAAGGTAAAAGCTGAACTTGATGGTGAATCCCATCATCCTGTTGACCTTTGGGAAAGAGGAACATACCATAAGTGCAGCTGGTCTATTTGTTGATGGTCATTCATTCAAAGTGATGATGGAAGGAAGGGGTTTTAAATATTTTCTATATTTAAAATCACAATTCTTCTTTATTTGAGCTTCCAAAAAGTGGAAAGATTAGAGGAAGAAGAGATAAAGAGAAAGAAAAGCAGGTGGGGCTGTGGGTTAAACCACAGAGCCTAGGACTTGCCAATCAGAAGGTCGGTGGTTCGAATCCCCGCGACGGGGTGAGCTCCCGTTGCTCGGTCCCTGCTCCTGCCAACCTAGCAGTTCGAAAGTACGTCAAAGTACAAGTAGATAAATAGGTACCGCTCTGGCAGGAAGGTAAATAGTGTTTCTGTGCACTGCTCTGGTTCGCCAGAGTTGCGTAGTCATGCTGGCCACATGACCCGGAAGCTGTGCGCTGGCTCCCTCGGCCAATAAAGCGAGATGAGTGCTGCAACCCCAGAGACGGCCATGATTGGACCCTAATGGTCAGGGGTCTCTTTACCTTATGTGTGCATAATATTACCTCAATACCCACCTTTATAGAGTTGCTTGAAGTGAATGGTATCTGTGGGGACTTATATTGATCCGCTTTTATATTATGAGCAGAGTAATACTAACAGTTTGATCTCTGCTGTGCATGCAGGAAGTTTAGAAGAAACAGAGTTACCTATCTTCTGGCAAATTAGAACTTTAATGGCAGAAGGGTTTGGATAGTTTGGTGAGCTGAGGTTGACCTCCACTGTTCATTCCCCAAAGTGAATGTCCTCAGGATGAAGGTGGCTTTCAATCCACTGGATCAAAGGTTTCACTGTTTGTCAAAGAGGTGCCAGGATTTGGTCCTCTTCAACACCTGCCTAGAGATGGTGTATTGAATACCCCCATCCCAATGGAGCCAATGACTAGTAAGTCACCTCAACCACAAATAACTTCTGCCATGGCTAGAGCCATGTTTGGAGGCGGAAGACAACTCACTAATTTGCACCACCCCATCCCATTTAGGATTGAACTAGAAGAAGGAAATCCCCTGGGGGGACTCGGGGGGACTTTGCTGGCAGAAAGGTGTAGACGGGTGGGTGTACTGCTAGTGATAGCCCCCAAACAAAATATAAATCAGTGACCACAGTGTCAAAAGTGAATTTGTGGTCACATCCAACTTACCCAAGTTCCGTTCCCTTCAAGTGATGGATATTTTTGCACAAGCAAGCCTGTCTCCCCAGCTTCTGCCTACATTCTTATATAGCCCTTGAGGGGTGGGGCAGTTGTCCTTCTATGGAATATGGATAAATAGAGAAAAGGGATATTACCAATTTCCCAGAAAACCATAAAATTTGTGTATTGGCGTCCAAAGGATTTTTTTCTATTAGGTACTGGCAAAGTAAATACTGTAGATATGATCAACATACATAAACAGCATGAGAAAATAGGTCTTTATATAAGGTATATAAAGGAAATGCCAGTGGAATGGGTGTGCTTGTGGCAACCATGCTCAGGGAAAGTATATTGCAGTACCTCATTGCTGTGTTGTAGTTCCTCATTGCTAAGAAAGGCTGTTGCTATGTGCCTTATCACTATGTGCCTTAAGAAGATGCATAATAGCTGTAGCTACAGGTAGGTAGCTCTGTTGGTCTGCCGTAGTTGAGACAAAATAAATAAAATAAAATTAAAATTAAAAATCCTTCCAGTAGCACCTTAAAGACCAACTAAGTTAGTTATTGGTATGAGCTTTCGTGTGCATGTACATTCTTCAGATACACTGAAACAGAAGTCACCAGACCCATATATATATATATATATATATATGTGTGTGTGTGTGTGTGTGTGTGTGTGTGTGTGTGTGTGCTGTGTTTGCATTCTGTGGTTGGAAGCCGTTGGCTCAATGAACCAGACTCACCTTTGCTTTTTAATATTTGTTTAGAGCCCCTGGCTCACGCTATTAGACAACATCGCGAGATTCTAAATATTCTAAATATTTGAATCCCACTGTTGGCCCTAATTTTCCAATGCGGGCAACCCTACAATATATGTACATAGCACCTTGGGCTGGTTGGACAGTATTAGGACCAAAATATCTGAAATCTCAGGTGACTCTGGAAACAATTAAATCACTTACAATAAGGTTACCAGATTTTTTCCAATGAATCCAGGGACACTTTTCAACGTCAATGGATTTTGTATGGGGACTGATTTGTAAATCCGGGGACTGTCCCCAGGAAATGGGGACATCTGGTAACCTTAACTTAGAGGAATATGGAATATATTGGCTAATAAAAACAAATTTCATCCATTTTCACATTCTAAACTTACTCTGTGGGGAAACCCCACATTAAGAATTGCAAAACATATGGTGATATGGTAAAAATTGGATGGAAGCAGGTGTATTGACATTGGACCAACTGATAGATGGGGAAGATGAATTTTATACTTTTGCTATTTTATGACAAAAATATCTTCTATCAGATGCAGCCCAATGGCAATATCTTAAATTACAACATCTCCTAACAAGTGTGTTAGGATCGTCAGCCCTTTCAGCTTCCAAGATACCTGAGATATTGGAGCAATTGGACAGCTCATTCAAAAATAAAAAGCCAGCAATTACTTTTTATAGATATCTGTTAAGCAATACACACGTTCAATATGCAGACTGTAAGAGATGATTGGAATAAAGAATTAGAACTTCCATTATTACCCAGACACTGGGAAAATGTATTAGCTTCAATACCTAAGGGGTCATTAGATTTAAAATTAAGACTAATACAACATAAAATAATATTTAGAGTTTATTGGACCCCTTTACGGTTGTATAAAAAAAAGGGTTAGCTAAGATAGCTCAGTGTTGGAGATGTGGCAAGGACAATGCCTCTCTGAAACACATGTTTGTACAGTATTATTTACTTAACAGGTTTTGGAAGAAAGTGCTGGACTGTGTAACTATGACTGTGCAGAAAAAGTTAAATCGTTCAGCGGAGAATATTTTATTGAACTATATACCTGCAGTGTGGCAATGATCAATGGGACAATGGAAATGGATTTTCCGTGCCCTGATGGTGGCCAAGAGAAGGAATATTGAGGAATTGGAAAAATAAAGATATGATACCCTTCAGTCAATGGACAGATGATATGACATCACTGGCGATTTATGAACTCACTGCTTACAGGCACAGACTCTGTATGGATAAATACGAGGACATTTGGAATGAGCTTATACAAAATGTAGTAGGCTATTAGTATTTACATAAGCACTAGGACAATAACACTATGCCAAATAATACAAGAATACATGGGAATATCATTTATTCCTCTTTTGGGGGGGGTATATTTTCATTTGTATATGTATCTTTGTTGTTTTTCTTCCTCTAACTTTTCCTTCTCTCCCCCCCCCCCCCCCGTATCACTTTATTTCTTTTAACTGAAATCACCTTAATGAAATATAAATATTATGAAGAAGTGAAGAAGTGGAAGCTACCACTGCTACCACCACCAATTTCCACCAGGGCTGGGGCAACAGGGCACCTGCAGTGGTGCCACCTCTTGGCATTCTGCCACCCGAGGCAGCTTCTTCTTGGGTGCTCTGGTCCTGGAATGGAGATACACACACACACACACACACACTGGTGGGAACTGCAGCTGTGCAACAGTACAACTGAAATACTTCCTCAGTGTGTCTCAAATGTCCATCAACCAAATGTAGCTTTGAAATGTGCTGGCAAATGTTTGGTCATTGCTGTATTGCGGAATGCCACTGGCTGCCATTATGTGCGAATCTATGTTCTTTTTATTTGTAGGTCTATACTTCTCACTTTTGGGGACGTGGATGGCGCTGTGGGTTAAACCACAGAGTCTAGGGTTTGCTGATCAGAAGGTCAACGGTTTGAATCCCTGAGACGGAGTGAGCTCCCGTTGCTCAGTCCCTGCTCCTGCCAACCTAGAAATTCGAAAGCATGCCAGTGCAAGTAGATAAATAGGTACCGCTCTGGCAGGAAGGTAAACGGCATTTCCGTGCACTGCTTTGGTTCTCCAGAAGTGGCTTTGTCATGCTGGCCACATGACCCGGAAGCTGTATGCCAGCTCTCTCAGCCAATAAAGCGAGATGAGCGCCACAACCCCAGAGTCATCCGCAACTGGACCTAATGGTCAGGGGTCCCTTTACCTTACTTCTCACTTTAGAAAATAAACTTAATATAGTTCATTTTAGGGTGGGTGTGTTCCTGCACTGTGGTCTAAATTACTGAGCCTCTTGGGTTTGCCGATCAGAAGGTTGGCAGTTTGAATCCCCCTAATGGAGTGAGCGCCAGTTGCTCCATCCCAGTTCCTGACAACCTAGCAGTTTGAAAGCACACCAGTGCAAGTAGATAAATAGGTACCGCTGCGGCGGGATGGTAAAGGGCGTTTCCATGCACTCTGGTTTCCAACACAGTGTCCAGTTGCACCAGGAGTTTAGTCATGCTGGCCACATGACCCGGAAAGCTGTCTGTGGACAAACGCTGGCTCCCTCGGTCTGAAAGCAAGATGAGCACCACAACCCCATAGTTGCTTTTGACTGGACTTAACTGCCCAGGGTCCTTTACCTTTTTACCTTTTACCGTTGAATTTATGTTATGTAACTTTTACTAATGTTTGTTGCATGTCGACAGTCTCATTGATTCCTTTCTTAGATTTGCTGCAAGCAAACAACTTCTATAACAGCACTATGAGCAGTTTAGGTACGCAGTTCTGTGTTGTTAATAATTTACTTTTGCATGCAAATCTATTTAATTTTTAGTGCAAACTTCCTTATTTGTTTATTACCTATGTACACACAATTATTCTGCAGAAGAGAACTTCCTTTTAAATGGCACAACAAATATGTAACCAATTTGAAAAGTGGTAGGTGTCATCCCTCAAAAATGAGAAAGTGGAAATGTGTATAGTACTCACCGTCACTTGATTTAGCAGTACTAAAAGTGGTTGGCAACTTCACAGCCCTCCAGCACTTGGAAGCCAAAATCTGGGGTGCCATCTTCCCAGACACCATCTTTCCATTTTTCAATCACAGAAGCACGATGGCCATTTTGATTGCTGCAATCTCTCACATTTCCATGCCACAGTTGCTGCCCTTTTTTCGCCCATGGCTCCCCAAAAATGTGCATTTTGGGGAGCCACACAAGATTGGGGGAAATTGTGCCACAAAATCTTGTGAGATCATGGTAACCAAAGTGGCCACCATTCTCTTGTGGTTAAAAAAACACAGGATGTCCCAGTTTTTCCAGGACACTTGCAGGGTACACAGTCTCCATGTTAAAAACCACTGTCTTTCTTCTCTGTGGAAACACACATAGCACATGATTTAGCATGCAGCGCATGATTTAACAATTCTGCAAGTGGTTGCCAATCAGCAGCCTCCTTCTTAAAACCACTATTTTCAGTACACTTGTTCCCCCCCCCTTCACAGTAGTGTAGATACTGGGTGCCAGGGGTGCCCAAACTTATTTCAAAGAGGGCCAGATTTGATGAAGCTTTTTTGAGGATTGAAGTTTTTACCCCAAAGTTGGTGAGCTTTTTAAAGGATTTTACCCCAGGACATATATTACCACAGGGGCCAGATTAATTCGTGAGCTTTTTAATTTTTTGATTAATTGGTGAGCTTTTTAAATGATTTTACCCCAGGACATATACTGCCACAGGGGCCAGATTAATTCATCGTGACTAGGCCCTCGAAACGGACTTGGGACATGCCTGGTGTCAGTGGCGGAGGAACCCTCTCCGGCACCCGGGGGGGCACCGAGGGGCGGGGCAAACTGCCTGGCGGTGCACACGCAATGTCCGTACAGACTACGCACGCACTGCAGCCCATACGGTCGCCGTGTGAGCGGCAGACTGTAAGGATACTGTGTGAGCAGCACCCCGTACGGACTGCGCATGCATGGCAGCCCATACGGACGCTACTCGAGCGGCACCCATATTAACTGTGCGTGCGCCCTCAGCCGCTCTACAGCTGGGGGGAGGCAGTGGGCCATCTTGTCACACCCCCCAGAGTGGTGCCTGGGCAACCCGCCTCCTCCGCCCCCCTTCATATGCCCCTGCCTGGTGTATGTGATATGATGTTTACTAAGTTTATTGCTTGTTACCTATGAGAACAGAAGAGGAGTATGATGCCACATAGTGAACACTGGAGAGCAGCAGTGGGCCACCTATGTGAGAGGTGTAGCTATTAAAATTAGTGCCAAGGCACAAATAGGGATGGACAAATTTGTTCATATAAATTTCTCCCGATTTCTCATTCTTCCAGTCTTAAATTCTGCTCCAGTTTATTATTATTTTTTCCAGTTAATCAGCATTTTAGTACATATTTCCTCAATATACACGTTTTTGCAAGCAGTACCCCCCGAATACAATACATTTCTGTATATAATTTTCACAAATATGTGCATTTTTATGCTCACATTCCCTTAGTACAGTGGTACCTCGGGTTACATATGCTTCAGGTTACATACGCTTCAGGTTACAGACTCCCCTAACCCAGAAATAGTGCTTCAGGTTAAGAACTTTGCTTCAGGATGAGAACAGAAATCGTGCTCCAGCGGTGCGGCAGCAGCAGGAGGCCCCATTAGCTAAAGTGGTGCTTCAGGTTAAGAACAGTTTCAGGTTAAGTATGGACCTCCGGAACAAATTAAGTACTTAACCTGAGGTACCACTTTTATACTCATTTTGGTCAGCATAACTCAGATGAAGAGCTGTATTGCAAAATTCAGAAAAGTATGTATTTCGAATGTTTTGGTTCCCATGCAGTTTTGGAAGATGTGAATTAGGTAGTGCCACATTAAAATGTGAATCAAAATGAATTTGTCATCCATCCCTTGGTGGAACAAACATGGCATGTTTATACTTCTGCTTATAAATCTGATGTTGTTTGGTGAAAATGCTGAGGAGAGGGACGCAGCAGGTGATGCTTTCATTATCATGGTGGAAAGAGGGAAAAGATACCCATAGAGGCCAAAAGGAAAAGGGAAGAAGAAATGTCACCCAAAGGTATTTCCCATAGCTGCTTCTTGAAGAACTACAGTTCCCAGGGTTCCCTGGGAAAGCAAATGACTCTTGGAGAAGCAAAAGTTTGTATTGTGGATATGTTACAGAGATACATCGAGGTGAAAGCATGCAGGATAATAGAACCGAGTTTATGCCAAAATGTGCAACAGCTTCTGGCTTTTGTAGATGGAGGATGAGTTGCATCACCATTTGCCTATGTCCTTTGAGTCACATAGTGAGTCGGATGGTTGCCGGTGCAGGTCACACGAATGCGTAAGTGTGCGGGTTTGCCACTGTACCTGCAGTTATAAGGAGGTGGGCCACCTGTGTATCTGCAGAGGACCATATCGAAGGAGTCTGTGCTGTCAAAGTAGTTACTTGAAGGAGTCCCTCTCCCTCTGCACACTTGCACGACACTTATGGGGAAGTCGTTGATGAAGGTACTTGTCTCTTTGCAAACATATCGAGTCATCCCTCTCTGCATCATCATCAGCGTGCAGTAGGTGTCAGGGTGGGAAGTTGGGTAGCTTTTGGGGTAATCTATGTGCTTCCAAACAAAAGCTTCTCGGGACTGTCCTTCACCAGACCGCACAAGCAGAAGCCCAAGAAGGATGGCCGGATGCGCCAGCAATGAGCAGGAGACCTTGGAGGACCACATGGTGGGGGCTTGGAATCTACAGAGAGGAGGAGGAGGAGGAGGAATAAATGGGGGAATGTTAAAGTGATGCCTATTTGTGTAAGATGAAAACAAGGCTATATACAAAATGAGGTGGTAGAAGTCTAGAGTGAACCATTTCAGGCTTCAGGTAGTAGTGCTGGTGGGCTGAAATTAGGGATAAGGGAGAAATAAGATTCAGTTCACATTTAAAAGTGAATCCATGAACTCTAGGCTGTCTGAAACAGAATACAAACAAAAACGCTGCTGTCCTTTGAAATTCACATTTTTCCCGAATTTTGCAATGCAGCTGTTGTTGTTGTTAGTAAAAATTCTATACCACCCTTCATCCAAAGATCACAGGGTGGTTTACAATATAAAGACACAAAAATACATACCACAATAACAAACATTAAACATATTTCCATAATCAGGGAAAGAAACACCAATGAGAGGGGTGTAGATAGAGCCAGTGGTGGAGAAAACTTAGCAGGTACAGTGGTACCTCAGGTTACAGACTCCGCTAACCCAGAAATAGTACCTTGGGTTAAGAACTTTGCTTCAGGATGAGAACAGAAATCGCACAATGGCGGCACAATGGCAGCGGGAGGCCTCATTAGCTAAGGTGGTGCTTCAGGTTAAGAACAGTTTCAGGTTAAGAACGGACCTCCGGAATGAATTAAGTACTTAACCCGAGGTACCACTGTAATATTGTTTATCTTCACCTGCTGATTTCTGCAAATCTTGTTACTACTGATAGGTACCAAAGGACTCTATATGCAAAGAACAGACTCAGAGCAAGACTGATTAGGATGATTTCCTACTTACCGTATATATAAGAAAGAATGGCAGCAACAAGAGTAACTTTTCAGGTGGGAAATGACTTTATCCTGGTCTCCTCTGATCACTTACGCTTAGTGAGATCCCACTTATATTCCATAAGGTTGAAGAATCTCTCTGCAGTACGCAAGCTTTTGAGTGGCAATGTGACTGCTCTCTTCTTGTAAATATGGATCTCTTCCAATATAGTTAGGCACTCTCCCAGCTCTGAATTGGGAAATTCTTACTTTTCAACTTCATTCATTGGTCAAGGGACTCTTGAGTATATATATCCACCTGATGTTTATCTCACTCAGTGCAAATCTCAGAAGCTTATTGGAGAGTTTCCACAACTAACGGTGCAGCAACAGTGGACAAATAGCAGCTGATGCCCCAACCAATTTTAATCTTAATATTTCTACATGTTGAATGTAAGATGAGCCCTGGTGGGTCAGATATGCATCAGGCTGCCTTCTGGAGTGCCTAGAGAGGGAACCAAATGCTCCCAACAACTTCAACACCTCCAACTATCCAGAAGGCACTCCCAAAAGTATGACGGGGGGAGACCAAGGCACGGGGATATACCAGGGTGATGATGGGTCAGAAAATATGGAGCAAATGTTTTCTTCTGGGTAGATATGGATAAGCTTTCACTGTTGACTTCTAGAGAGCCTAGAGAGGGAAATTAATGCTGGTAACACAACAACTCCAAAGGAAAGAAAGAAGCCTGTAGATAATAATTTATCAGTGAGATGATGTGTCAGAATGTATTGACAGCTGGAACAACTGTAGGCACCATCATTTGAGCAAATGATCCTGGCCCTTTAAAAGGAAAAAAGAAAAAGAAACTCCTATGCTCTGCTTGTTCAGGTTTCACACTTGGCACGCTTTGCTGGGACTGCTCTTATCTACTTTCACAGAATTATCTGCCCAATTTCCAGAGATGTTCAGCCCTGAAAAACAGTGACAACAACCAAGAGTTCAGAGTACAAGCACTCCTCAGCTAAGCCAACAGAATGCCTGGGGTATTTAAATATCATCTGATACTTAGTGATGTAGGATTGTAATTTGATATACTGGTGTTCTGTTGCCATTCCATTCTGCAATTCTCCCCCACCCTTTTCTTTTCTTTTCTTTTCTGGACAAGGATAGGTGGATTTGACTGACTGAATCCAAAGAATGCTCACTAATGGTTCCTCATCACCCTGGAAGAAAGTGGCAAGTGGGGTGCTGCACAGTTCTTTCCTGGGCCCGTTGTTTATGAATTACTTGGATGCAGGAATTGAGATTATGCTCATCACATCTGGGAGGGGTAGCTAATGCCACAGAATACAGAATTGGGATTCAATATGACTTTAAGAGATTGGATAAATGGGCCAAAATATCATCATCATCATCATCATGATATATCCTACCTAAGCTACTCTGGGAGGCTTCCAACTGAATATAAATAATAATAATAATAATAATAATAATAATAATAATAATAATAATAAAAGATCAAACATTAGAAACTCCCCAATATAGGGCTAACTTCAGATGTCTTTATAAAGTTGTATAATTATTTATCTCTTTAGCATCTGATGGGAGGGCAGCACTACCGAGAAGGCCCTCTCCCTGGCCCCCTGTAACTTCATTTCTTGTAGCGAGGGAACCACCAGAAGGCCTTCAGGACTGGACCTGGTATCTGGGCTGAATGATGGGGATGGAGATGCTCTTTCAGGTATACAGGGCCAAAACCATTTAGGGCTTTAAAGGTCAGCACCAACCCTTTGAATTTTGCTTGGAAATATACTGCGAGCCACTGTAAATCTTTTAGAACTGGTGTTATATGTTCCCGGTATCTGCTCGCAGTCACCAGTCTGGAAGTTGCATTCAAGATTAGTTGTAGTTTCTGAGTCACCCTCAAAGGTAGCCCCACGTAGAGCGCATTGCAGTAGTCTAAGCGGGAGATAACCAGAGCATGCACCACTCTGGCAAGACAGTGGGTGGGTAGGTAGGGTCTCAGTCAGCATACCAGATGGAGCTGGTAGAAAGTGGCCCTGGACACAGAATTGACCTGTGCCTCCATGGACAGCTGTGAGTCCAAAATGACCACAAGGCTACATACCTGGTCCTTTAGGGGCACAGTTATCCCATTCAGGACCAGGGATTTTTAAGGAGAAGGAAAGCAGGGCCCCAATACTTATGAATTACTTCATAGACACAAGTACTCATTTCTCTTCCACAGCTAACCACTTCCATAGAATGAAGAAGGAATTCTCTGGCCATGCGCAGAGTTCATTACCCACACGACAGAGTTTGCCACAGCCTTCACACTTAAGAACTTCTTAGACACAGAAACACCGTTTCAGTATTTGCATTTGCAAAAATTCATTTTATTGCATGCTAAAGCAAGGGTGCTTATGATAGTAAAGGCTTCTACAAGTTGATACATATTTGCTAAGATTGGAGGAGGTAGGAGAAAGTGTTATTTATTAACATTGATTTCTTGCCTGCCATTCATCATATCGTCCCAATGTACTATCCACAATGTAACAATAAAGGATTAAAACCATTTGAAACAATTTACAATCCTAAAAACAAATATCTCAGGTCTCGAAAACCAGGGCAAAGAGATGAGTCTTCAGCAAAGGTGAAAGCTTTGTAATATAGGTGTCAGAAACACCCCTGTGGGGAAAGGGGAATTTAACACCTTAGGGACTGTCACAGAGAATGTCTTCTCTCAGGCAGCATTCCCTAGTGTATCTGTATGGAAGGAGGAGGTCATGCTTTCAGCTCCCAGTCACTGCTAGGGAGTGACGATGCATACAGAAATCAAGCAATACGCATGCCTGGGTGAAGCAGAGCGTTAATTGCAGAGAGTTAATTCCATCGGGGAACTTTGTGGCCCTCAAGGTATTGCAGGATCACAAGTCCCATCATCCATAACCATCGATCATACTAGCTTGGGCTGATGGGAGTTAAGGTCAAATGGCCACTAGAGGGCCACAGATTCTCCACCCCTGTTTCAGTTTCTCAGTGAACAAATTGACTCATTTGAAATGCATGATGTTTCTCAGATGAGGGTGCTGAGGAAGGGATGCTTGAGGAGATGAAGAGATAACAGCGGGGTGTCCTACACACTGAACAGTTGTGTAAAAGAGGGAATTTCAGAAGTTCTAGCTTTCATGATGTGATTATTCTTTTTAGTACCCAACCACTAAAAGTGCAAAAGTTGTGCCGTCCTCTTTGGCATCTTTCCACCTTTGGCAAAACCCTGAAAACCACACAGAAAAAGATCTGACTAAGGAACAGTTTAATTCCCCTAGTTCCGCTTCTCAGACCTACAGTTCCCCAGGGGCCCCTGGGGAGAAGGAACTATTTCTAAACTGGGTTTAAACCTGCACTGTGGAGTTACATTGTAGGAAAAGCAGAAAGCAAAGAAAAGAACTGAATGATCAAAGAAGTGACGCCCATAAATATTCATTAGTGACCCCCACCCCCTCCTCTCAGGTCTACATTTCCCAGGGTAGGAAGGAACCATTGCTAATCCACTTTAAGCCTGCAGTGTGGATATGCCCTCAAAGTTAAGCGGTAGAGAAAGCAGCAAGCAAAGGGAAATTCAACAGTTGCCAGAATGTCCTCAGACTTCTGCTTCCTGTGGATGAATGGTGGGTTGCATCACACTAATCTGTCAAGGTGAACAGGCAGTCTATTTCTGCAGCCCACACGGACTCGCTTGGACTGTGCCCTGCCACGATAATTACAGTTGGGGAATCTTCCTGTGCTGCGGCAGACGACCACACGGAAGCGCCTCCTGCTGGTATATAAATTGCCCCGGAAGCGAGTTCCCCCACTGCCACAGATTGCCTGGACGGAGCGAGGACTGCCGTTGATGAAGGTGTTGGTGGGTTTGCAGACCGGCCTGTTCAGTCCTCTCCGAGCCATCATCAAGTTGCAGTAGGCATTGTGGTTGTTTGCTGCAGTTTTCGGATAATCAATGTGTCTGTTCGCAAAATCCCGGTAGCTTGCTCCTTCGCTGGACTGCACCAGCAGAACCACGAGGAGGATGGCCAAACGCAACAGCAGCCAGCAAGAACCTTTGGTGGTGATCATGGTGGGGCTGTTGAATCTATAGAGCAGAAGGAAGAAGAGGGGGATATTTTAAAGCAAGGAGCGAATTTCTTCAGGAATAAAATAAGAGGCATGGATAGGGATGTTTCTCTCTCTTTTTTAAAAAAATGATATTTATTAAGGTTTCAAAAAAAGGTTACATAGATTAAAAAAAAAGAAAAACAGAGAAAAGAAAAAATACAGAATACAGAAAAATAAAAAACAATTAAAAAAAAATCAATCTTTCCATGCCTTACATTTCATTTACTTGTTTCCCTGACCTCCTCACACCTCCCTTTTTGTATTCCAGTTCAGTTAGTTAATTCAGCAATTCCTTTCCCTCTTTGTTTTTATCTTAATCCTTTAACTTAATATATTATAACTTTAGATTCTCACCTGTTAACAATCCATTTTTACATACACCTTTATAACATTGCTGCTAAAACCACTTAACTTCATTCTGACATCATTCTAACATTCATTAATTTTGCAGTATTTCTGTAAATAGTCTTTAAATTTCTTCCAATCTTCTTCCACCGACTCTTCTCCCTGGTCTCGGATTCTGCCAGTCATTTCCGCCAGGATAGGGATGTTTCTCACCCCTCCCCAACTTTAAGTTCCATTCTCCGCATTTCCACATTTGTTTGCAATTTATTTATTTATTTAGAAAGCCCTCAAGAACATTCAGCAGCATTTTAGCACCAGTTTCTCCTAACATACACATTTTTGTCTGCAGTTTTGCCTAAAATGCACATTTCTTTCAAAACACTTTTTTCTGATATAATGCATTTTTACATGTTATTTTCATGAATATATGCCTTTATATGTGCACTTCACCCTAATATGAGCATTTCTGTAATATAAGCATTTCTGGTTGGAGAAATGCATTGCAAAATTCAGAGAAGTGTAACTTTCTGTGTTTCTATTCGCATATTCTTTTAAAAAGTGCAAATTAAGCAGATTGGCCTTTATATGTTAGCCAAATAAAGGTGGTATTCAACAGTTGTTCTGCTCAGTGTAGACCCAATGAAACTAATGAGTATGACTAACTCTGAGTGGTACTTAGTTGAATACTACCGAAAAATTTCCCCCATGGGTAAATTATGGTCAACCTGGGGTTTTGACAGAAGAGATTAAGACTCCCCCAGATTGCTCCTAATACATTTTATTAGGATTTATAAAGAGAAATATCAAATATCTCATTTTTTTGTCCAAAACTAAAACATTGATCTAAATACAATAAGAACACAGAAAAAAAAGAGAGAAAGAAAAGCAGGGGACATAGAGAGAGAGAGAAATAAAGAAAAAGAAATAGACAAGAGAGTAAAAGAGAGAGAGAGAGAGGGAGGGGAAAAAATAAAGTTCAGAAATGGAAGAACTTCTGATTCTTCATCTGACCACTGTATATAAACAGTATTCACTTCAGCCACTTCAATATAATACCCTATGAAGCCACTTTCTATAAACAAACATTATCTCCCACCCTCAAATCCAAATGGCATTATTCTGTTTTCATTTTTTCAGCTCTGGTACTCTCTCTCTCTCTCTCTCTCTCTCTCTCTCTCTCTCTCTGTGTGTGTGTGTGTGTGTGTGTCTGTATCTGTAGGAACAGATTGTCATGTGATACCCTGGACATTTATCTTATAACCTTTGTTATAACCCAAACACAGGACTTACCAGCTCAATGTGCAGTAGCAACAGCATGTGTGATGGGGTGGAACCGTCCTCCTGGCACCTGCATTCCTGCTACTTACCTGAAAGGGCTCAGAGCAGGGCAGGGTGGCAGCAAGTGTTTTTGGCCACGTGGTTGCACTGGCAGGACCAATCTAGTATTCCTGCTGATGCGCTTGTGTGGATCAAACCATGCCACTGCCCTGTCCCAGCCCTGTCCAGGAAAGCAGCATTGATACTAGCGCCAGGTGGGTGGCTTCACCCCAAGACATACGCCACAACTGTAGGAGTGCAATGCAACTAATTTAAGGTGGGTGGACTGCATTGCTAGAAAATATTAAAGATGCAAAAAATCAGGAGAGAATGGGATGTCTTTACAAATTTTATGAAGAAAGTCGTTTCCCAAAATTATAATTGGCTTAGTCTCTAGAGATTAAAAATTCCACAGGTAAACAAATAGTCTCTCCATTAATGCAAATTGATTACAAACAACTAAAGATATCGAATCATATAAACTGAACAGTGGTCGAAGGAAGTCAACTTTTTCTATTTTCCTTTTGATTTCTCTCTTTCTCTTCCTTTTTCTTTTCAATATGTATCATTTTCTTATTTTTTGTATTTTTTCTTCCTATTAGTAGCTTTTTGGTATTTGGTAACTTGTATTATTTGTGTAACTGTACTCTTTTTTGAGCAATAATGCAATATTTATATAGAAAAAGAAAAAAAGGAGGGGAGGAGAAAACATTAAAGATGTAATTCTCAGAGAAGCCAAGCACAGTGCTGGCAGCCACTGGAAGACAGTGGATTAGGGAGCAGCTTTATAACGAGGCAGGCTATTTGTCCATTTGGGTCAGTATTCTTTCCAGTGATTGGCAGTGGCTCTCCAGAGGTTCAGGCAGGAGTCTTTTCCCAGTCCAAGATGAAAACACCAGTGATTGAATATGAGACCTTTTGCATGCACAGCATGTGGTCTGCCACTGGGCCACAATCCTTCCAAATAACAGACCACACAATAAAGATGCCAGATGTCATAAACTTGGCGATACTGTCAGGAGCCCCAGCAGAATATATCCATTAGTAAATATGCTTCCTTGTTTTCTGGACTGTTTTTTAAAAAATATTTTAGTTGCTTTTATGGTAGGCTTGAGGTCCATACAAAAGGCAATTCAGAAATGAGAGGGAGGGAGGGAGAGAGAGAGAGAGAGAGAGAGAGAATAAGTTAGGGAGAAAAAAATCCTTTCAACTCTACCCACTAAAGAAAGAAGAGAAAGCTTCCTTAACATGGGACAGTCAAAGTTCAGTTTCCTTAAAGGGTAAAACAGCAGGCACAAGTTTGTGAATGTCCACTTCCAACTTACCCAAGTTCAGAGAAGTCTCAAGGTACAGGATGCCACTTTCTATGGAAGCAAGTGTATCTCAAGCTGCTGTCTGAATTATTATATAGGTTTCAGTTAGGCCAGGATGAGGGGAAAAAATCAAGCACTTGCAACATATAGATGGTGAAAGGAGGACAGAGGGCTTTCATCTGAAAATTGCACCATTGGCTGCTTGTTTCCAAAGCTTCCCGTAAATGAGAAATACAGTGGAATGAGGAATAAACTGTTAGAGCTCGCTCTTTCTTTCTTTCTTTCCTTCCTTCTTTCTCTCTCCTTCAAAATGTTGAGGTGACTGTGTGGGCATTACTGATAGGCGACATCACTGAAATAAAGGTTTTAAACACATATAAAGCTGAAAACAATGGCAAGTAAGCTATCAATGCAATTATAATAATTTACAATCAGAAGCAGCAAAAATTCTTCAAGCATAGGACAATAACTGATTACCTGAAGACTGGAACAACAATAAGAAGCAGTCAGCAGTTTTTCTTAAAAAACTAGTTTTGATAGGGCCACATATATAGCAACTTTTACTGGTAGGCCTCATATGCTGATCATATGAGTGCAGTCTATTCCACAGATAGCCTGGTACCCAACCATCAGTGTACATGGAGCTGTGTCACTTTATGTTTATGACAACCCAGTGAAGTGGGCTAACCTGAAATAGGGTACTTTTCTCAAGGCCACCCAACTGATGAAGAAGACTCCAGAGTCTGAATCAAGGACAGGGATGGTCTAACTTCTGTTGTCTATGCTACATTAACCTCTAGGTTAGATTTCTGCAGTTCACTATACATAGGCCTGCCTTTGAAGATGGTTCAGAAATGGCAGCTGGTGCAGAATTTGTGTGCTGGTCCCGGGGGTAAGGTACCTTGGGTGTAGCAGAGTCCACACGAAGAGGGGCAAGGTCCGAGGCAGAGAGCCGGGCGGGGAACAGGAATGCTGGAACAGGAGGCTGTGCAGGAAACAGGAACACCGGATGGTCGGGAACAGGAGGCCGAGCAGGGAACAGGAGTACCGGATAGTCAGGAACAGGAAGCCGAGCAGGGAACAGGAGTACCGGATAGTCAGGAACAGGAAGCCGAGCAGGGAACAGGAGCACAGGAAGGTCCGAAGCCAACAACGACGTTGCTCCCGCAACCTGGGGCCGGGCTGACTGGGCTTTTATCCTCTTCTAAGGCCAGGGGCGGTCCCGGTCCCCAGGAGCCCCGCCTCCTCTGGCCTTAAGGCGAGCACTCCTCCGGGGGCAACCAGTTCCCTTCGCCTCTCTGCCCTAAGCCTCTGCAGATCAGGAGAGGCCGAAGGGTTACTGGGCCCTGGAGGAGGCTCACCTGTGGCCACTGAGTCATCAAGCCCCTCTGGGGCCAGAAGGGCTTCACCTGGGGCCAGCTCCTGATGCACTGCCACAGGTGCAGGCTCTTCAGCATCTAGGCCTTGCCCCAGTTCAGCCGGCCCTGGAGGCGGGGACTCCTGTGCAGGCTGGGATTCCTCTGTTTCATCCTCCGAATCGGAATCCCAGGCCATCACACCATCCCCCTCCCAGGCCCCCTCAACCGAGGGTCCGGACCCGGCTTGCCGGGGTACGTCGCATGGAACTCTCGGAGGCAGGCAGGTGCGTGGACATTGGCCGCTGGTTCCCAGGAACGGTCCTCCGGTCCGTACCCCTTCCAGTCAATGAGATACTGCAGCTTCCCTGCGGTATCGGGAGTCCAGGATGCGTTCCACCTCGTACTCAGGCTCTCCCCGAACCAACACTGGCTGCGGTCGGGGACGGTCCGGGTGGAACTCGCCGGGTGGGGCCACCGGACTCAAAAGGGACCTGTGGAAGACCGGGTGAACCTTCAGGGCTGCGGGTAACCGGAGACGGAATGCCACAGGAGAGATTTGGTCTACGATAGGGAACGGGCCGGTGAAGCGGGCGTCCAACTTCCGCGAAGGTCGAGAGGGGTGGAGGTG